CAGTGGTCAGGATGCAATCTCTTGAGCCACTCTTCTCTCCGTTGATGTCCTCAGCTGTGCCTGTGTCATGGATCAGTGAGAGAGGGAGGGTGGGTGAGAGCCAGCAGCCCTGGGAGCTCCTCACTTTTGCTACTCTCCAGCAGGTCACCAGTGAGTGAATCAGGGATGGGACGAGGTAGAACATGGCGAAGTAGTTGTGTGCAGGGGGAAGGGTGGTTGTGGTGACAGTTAAGCTAGAGGTTGAAATTCTCCAAGACATGTAATTCTATCCATGACTCATTGACTAGGCAACCTAGGAGCTGTAAACTGTGTATCTGAGTTTGGGGTAGTTTCCACCAGTGCAATATGTCCACAGGTTGCCGTCTGAAGGTTCTTCTGCCCATGATTCACCTTTCCTTAGGCAGAGAAAAATGGGCAGAGAGCACAGGGTCAACCCATCTACTGAACCCAAGTGGCTTTCTCAGGCAGAACTTGAAAGTGTGATTAGAGTACCCTCTTGAACTCCATGGATGGGAGACCAGAGATGCAACACATCCTATCGGGCCCAGGATAATTCTGTACGAAAAAGGTTCTTGAATTTGAATTCAACTTTTGAATGACCCAAGCATTTATGTTGTTTTTTAGAAACCTACTTTTTTTTTATAATACTGTGATTTGAACCCAGGGTCTTGTGCATGCTAGGCAAGTACTCTACCACTGAGCTATATCCCAAGACCAAAAGCCTACTATTTAAAAACTCTGGAACATTTTGGTTTTTGTTGTTGTTTTGGTGTGGTTTTTGTTGCAGTACTTGGGATTGAACTCAGGGCCTCATACTGAGCTACAATCCCCTGAACTTATTTTTTTTAAAGTTTTTTTTATTGAGTTTATTGGTACAATCTAGGTATACAATACAGTTACATTCATCATTGAGACCAAAAGCCTACTATTTAAAAACTCTGGAACATTTTGGTTTTTGTTGTTGTTTTGGTGTGGTTTTTGTTGCAGTACTTGGGATTGAACTCAGGGCCTCATACTGAGCTACAATCCCCTGAACTTATTTTTTTTAAAGTTTTTTTTATTGAGTTTATTGGTACAATCTAGGTATACAATACAGTTACATTCATCATTGGGATTCTGTGTCTTTACATAATAGGTCTTGATTCTCATTTTTCCCCCTTGTCCCTGCCCTCCCTTCACCCCCTCCTCCCCTCCCCATTTACAAACACTTTATTTCCATTTTTTCAGTTTCTCATATTTTTTTCCTCTCCCTTATTACCTTTCTCCCACCCTTCCCACTTTCCCTATACCTTTAGCCCTTTACTTCCTATTTCACATTATTAATTATCTCATTAGGATCCTGTGTACTATTATAGTTTTTCACACCAAAGAAACTATTCAGTATTTCAGGTAAAGAAATCTCTGTATGAACATTAAAAATAGGGAATCCTAAAATAAAACTAAAAATGAAAGTAAAAGAGTAAAGGCAATGATGTAACATTAAAATAATCCTTAATTCTGGAGATGAAAATGGTCCCTGAAAATATTTAAATTGCTTCTTGCTCTTATAGTCTTATCTTATTCTTTTTTTCATTATTAGTCATCTGAACAAAATTATAGACATTCAGCACATTCCATTTAAAAAAAAAAAGAATAATAATATCCAAAAAACAGCAAAGTTCTGTTGCTGTTGTGGTACCTGGGACCATTTTTTAATTATCATCTTAATCATCATCTGGAAAGAGAACATTCTAGAGTAATATCATTAAATGTAGCTCTGATAAAGCATGGT